AAAAAGAGGAAGGGAGAAAAGGGGGCCGGAAGGAGAAGGGGGCAGGTGTCCCCCTCGCCGGACTGGGTCCTCAAGGCTGGGATTAACTGTGGCCCACAGTAGGACCATGTGCGTGTCAAGATGAGCGAACAAAAGGCAGGACCCTGCTGGGTCAGCCCGGAGACCCTGGCCAGGAATCCGTCCCATGGAGACGCTGGCTTTCTCCAGAGGCTCTGATGACCCGAACCCTGACTGGACCGGACCCTCCTGTCCATGGCCGGGGGGGGGGGGGGGGGGGGGTGGCGCCTGCTTCCCCATCCAAGGCCTGACCCAGAGAGGTCTTAGACGGGTGACGGGGCCGAAGCCATTCGGAGGGAAGGCCCGCCTGAGACGGCCTCCGAGAGGAAAAGGGGCTTCGGGGGCCCTCCGAGCCTGGAGGAAGCGGACCTCTTCGCGCTCGGCCTCGCAAGGCAGCCCTGGGTCTCCAGCGCTCCGTGGGGAGTCTCTCAACCCTCAACGCGGCTCAAGCAGAGCAGCCTGGCGGTTGGGTCGGGTGCCCCCCCGGAGCTGAATTCCCCCACTTGTATCCCCGACCGAGGATTCAAGGTTAAAGCTCTCGGAGGGAAAGGAGGGGGGAGCCCAGCTACCTCAGCGCTTTTGCAAAGTTTGGGAGGAACCAGGTGACCCGAAGCTGTTATTGAACAGTTGCATTTGGCTAAAACCTTCCAGACGTGCAGCATGCAGGAAGCCGGTGGCTGAGGTTGAGGTTGGGAGCCAGGGGGTGTAAAACATTGAATAAATCAATACATCTGATCGGTACAATCTGGATCCTCTCCCCAGAAATCCTTCAAGAAGTTCCCGGCCATCTTTTCATTCCCTTTCTTCTTTCTCTCTCTCTCTCTCTCTCTCTGCGTCTGCCCCGCCTGCCTGCCGCCTGGGGCTCTTTCTCCTAGTTAGCAGCCCAAGTCCTGGAAGACAAAGGGGTCGGATTTGGCCTGGTGGACGCAGAGAAGGATGCCGCGGTGGCCAAAAAATTAGGTAAGGCTTGACATCCCTTGGCTGAGCAGAAGGCTCTTCTGGGAGGCCCGTTTCCCGCTCCCCCAGGCTGCAAGCGAGTTTGGATTCGGGGCTCCAGGGAAGAAGCAGAGGGGCGTTTGGAGGCCACCAGGGGGCCGTGAAAATGGCCGGCTCTGGGCTCATTCAACGCCTGCTTCTCTCTAAGGGACTTGGGGGCTCTCTAGACACGGAGATCGTTGCACCCCAAAGCTTACAGTCTAAACGACTTCTTGGCCTCTGGGCAGAATTTAGCCCTTCCGAGCCCCACCTGCAACCAGTTGCCTGAGAAGGACCGGATGGAGAGCAAGTGGCCCTACCCTTGGTAGGCCGATCCATCCTGGCATGGGGGGCCCACTTTTGCGGAACCAGGCTGCCTTTCTCCATGCTCAGAGGTCCAAACGCGACCTCTGGGTGACCTCCCTTTGGCCTCCCCCGCAGGGCTGGTTGAGGAAGACAGCATCTACGTGTACAAGGAGGACGAAGTCATCGAATACGATGGGGAATTTTCAGCTGACACCTTGGTGGAGTTTCTCCTCGACGTAAGTAGTGACCGTCTTCTCAGCGCCCCCCCCCCCCGCAGCCCCTCTCCCCAGGGGAAAAGCCCCCTAATGCGGAGGATCCCAAGGGAAAGCTCTTTCCCGCCCACCCTGGGCGTCAGCCTTCCTTCCAAGTCCCGCAGCTGAGGCAGCTCGGATCTTGCCCCCTTTGGTTCTGCTTCGTTGCCCTCCCCTCCTTCGCATGTTATCCAGGCCGGCGGGGGAGGGGTGGCTGGGAGTAACCCCTCCCCCTCCCCCTCCCCCTCCCACCGTTTGCTTCTCAACTGCTGGGGGCTCATAGGGGGCCAGAGCCACCCGCTTCCAGGCCCTGTCCAGGGTGCTGATGGCCACCCACTTCCAGCAGGGTTTCTCGGCCTCAGCCTCCAAGGGGTGTGGACGTCAAGTCCCAGAATGCCCCTGCCAGCCTGCTCTAAAGTCCCCCTCCCCTTAAAAAGGCCAAGGACTCTGGGCAGAAGCAGACACCCCTCCCTGTCGGTCAGCCGGGCAGACGTGGCCAGAGAGCCAAGCCAAGGCTGACCTTCACCCTTTCCTGCAGGTCCTGGAAGACCCTGTGGAGTTTATCGATGGAGAAAACGAGCTTGAAGCCTTCGAGAGGATCGACGATGTACCCAAACTCATCGGCTACTTCAAGAACGAGGACTCTGAGCGTGAGTGGAGGAGGGGAGGAGGGGGTCCCAGGAGAGACGGGGTTCAGGACACCCAGGTAGAAAAAAAATCCAACGTGGAAAGGTGGGTGAGGGGGGAAGGGAAATCTCAGGCCACCAGAAAATAGGCTACTACCAGACCCAGGGAAGGAGCTGGCCTGCCGGGGCGACCAGGGGTGACTCCTCCGCCTTCTCTTCCAGATTTCAAGGCCTTTGAAGATGCTGCTGAAGAATTCCACCCTTACATCCCTTTCTTTGCGACTTTTGACAGTAAGGTATGTGAGGGAGGGAGGGAGGGAGGGAGGGGCTAGGGTTTCCTTTTGCCCAAATGGCAAAGAGGACATCCAGCGAGACTTCAACTCCCAATACTCCCCAGCTAACAGCCAGAATTCTGGAGCCAAAGTCCATGCATTTTCAGGGAGCGCGGGGGCAGCTGTGGACACCCCCCCACCCCCACCCCGCCCCAGGGAGGTCCGCCCAACTGGTCCTCCTCTGTTTTGGCAGGTGGCAAAGACGCTGTCCCTGAAGCTGAACGAGATTGACTACTACGAGCCTTTTATGGAGAAGCCGGTCACCATCCCGGACAAGCCGAATAGCGAGGAAGAGATAGTCCAGTTCATGGAAGAGCACAAGAGGTGAAGCCTCGCTGCCCGCCTGCCCTCGGGGGAGGGGCTCCCTGGCAGCAGGGGCCCTTCGGAGCAGCAGCTCACACTGTGCCTGGCGGGCTGGGGAGACCTTCCTCGGTTGCCATGGCAGCCGTCTTCCCAGCATCAACAGCAGCATCCCTTGTTCTCCTGTTCTTCCTCCTCCTCCGGCTGTCATGGAAACTGCACACATTTGGCCCCGGCGGTCGGCCGTCTCCCCTCCCCATGCCTGGTGGTGTTGGACTGGGGCTGCTGGCGATCATCAGCCCAGAAACGCCCTTCGCCATTATGAGCCTGGCAAAGACCAAGGAAGATGGCATTTCTGAGCCTGTTGCTCGGTACCCTCCCCCAATTGGGGAGCACGCCTCAAATGGGTCCCCTCCTCCTCCCGTCCCAGAGCAGGGGGTCTCCCAGCACCCACCCAAGCGATTAGGTGGGCCTCTGCCTGCTGGCCCATACGGAAAGAGGGCACCCAGGATGGCAGGACCGCCTAGCCTGACTGGTCCAGCTGCTCACAAAAATTTGGAAGAAAAGGAGGCCGGCATCCCTCCCCCCTCCTCCCCCTGGAGAGGCGGTTCCCTGGGAAAGGCCTCTTTGGCGCTGACCCGGATGGTGCCTGCCAAGAAGTTCGGCTGCTAGAAGCCAGGAAGGCCAAGGGCCAACCTGTAATTAAGGGGTTTTGTCACGATCCCCTGGGCGCCCTCTGCAGCTAGTAAATAGGGTTGGGGCTGGTTAATATTCGGGTGGGGGAGCCCTAGGAGTCCTTGGGCTGGGAACTCAAAAAACCTCCCGCTGCCCCGTTGCCAAGGAAACAGCCTCTACCTGGGGGGGCGGTCTTTACCTGCCTGGCCCGGCCTGGAAAGACCTTGCTGGCCTCGGTCGCCTCACCCTTTGCCCGTCTCTTGCAGGCCAACGCTGAGGAAGCTGCACCCAGACAGCATGTATGAGACTTGGGTACGTTCACAGATCTGAGAGAGCCCCCTCCCCACTTCTAGGCAGGCCCCCGGGGGAAGCAGGAAGGTGCCAGCAGGCCCTTCCGGAAAGGGGGCCAGTTGACAGGTGAGACCAAAGTAGCCAGAAAAGGGACGAAGCAAAACGTCCCCCACGAAAACCGCCTGGGCTGCTCGTGAAGCTGGGCTTCTCACCAGCGGCCTCTCCAGGCCACCCACCTCCACGGGGACGGCTGGTGGCGCGCTTGCCTAAAGGCCGCCTCCTTCCCATCTCAGGTGATCCCAGGCGAAAGGAGGGAGGGCGCAGCTCCCTGGCGATGTAAGGAGGGCAGGAAGCGGGCGCTGCCGCTGCAGCAGCTCTTCCCCGCAGCCGAGCTGAGCCGAGCTGGCAGGTTCTGCCTGCCCTGCTGACTTTTGCACGTGAACAGACAGGGAGAGGCCGGGGACGATGGGCTCCAGGCCCAGAGGCTTGGCCCAGGAGTCGGACACAGCGCAGAAGGGAGGGGGGTCTTCCCACCGGAGGCAAAGAAGAAGCAAGTCTGGAGGGGGGTCAGTTTGCCCAAGCCCCCACCATAGCTTCACTGTACATAGCAGAAAGAGGAACCCCAAACTCAGAGCTCTCCCTCCCCTCCCTCCCCCATATATATATCGGCTCCCCACGAATAATCAAGAAAGCGCACAAAGCCAGCGATCTGGTGAAAACAGATCCTCTGTGCTGGCCAGGTCATCAATGATAAATACGTCCCCCCCAGTTTACCTTCCTAGGTCCAAAGGCATCACCACGCCCCCTTTGAGCCCCCCAAAGACACGGCAGGTCTGCCCAGATCTCACGCAAGGGGGCAGCCGGCCGGCTTCTGTGGATGCCCAGCCAAAGCCCGACTCCAACCACCATGGCGAATTTACAAGCCCTGGGAAGTTTTGGGGGCCCTCAGCCGAGTCCCTTCCTTTTGCCACAGCCCAGGCCCTGCCCAGGGAAACTGCACTGTGGGATGGAAGGGCTGCTCCTGGGGGAGGGTCACCCCCCTCCCCCCCCCCGGACTCTTGGCCCTGGAAACATGCTGGCTCCTTTGCAGGACTCAGGCTTATTTCTGTTGATGCTGGGGGTGGCGTGGGGAGGTCCTGAGTGGCTAGAGGCTGCTTGCTTCTCCTTCCTGGGTTGGGGACTCTGCCAGTCCTAAACCGCCAAGAGAGCCATAAAGTCGCCCAGCGTCAATCTTCCTTCCTGCCTTCTTGCCTGTTTAGGAAGACGACGTGGATGGCATCCACATCGTGGCCTTCGCAGAGGAGGATGATCCTGGTAAGTCATTCTAGATTTTTTTTGGGGGGGGGGGGGAACCCTGCACTGAATCCCCAAGTCCTGCGTGTCCACGATTTCTCCAGCTATAAACCTGGTTTGTGCAAGAGAAGCACCTCCTGCTTCTCGACACGCAGGTCAGATTTACCTTGCACACACAACCAAGGATCCCTGCGGCCTGCGCGAGCACCTGAAGACGTTCCCTGGCTGCTGGTTCTAGCCCCACCCTGGGCTGCCCTTGGCCAGAGCTGCTCCTGCGGAAAAGGGGGACTGGGAGGAGGGGCTTAATGCCCCTGCCCGCCTCTCTCTCTCCTCAGACGGTTATGAGTTCCTGGAGATCCTGAAGGAAGTCGCCCAAGACAACACAGACAACCCGGATCTCAGCATCATCTGGATCGATCCCGAGGAATTCCCGCTGGTGAAGAGCCCACCGTGTCCTTCAAAACAGAGCGGGGAGGGGGCTTTTAGGAGCCACTCTGGGAACCGCCTGGGCACCTCCCCCCCCCCCCCGCTGTCCTTCCCCCCTGGCCAGCAAGAGACAGCGGGGGGGGGGACGCAGAAAAGGGCCCAGCAGGATCCCTGGGGGGGAGGGGGGGCTCTCTACCCCACGGTCCACCCCCATTCCAGCCCCCAACCCAACCCAGGTGGCTCTCTCTCTCTCTCCTGAGGGGCTTACTCTCCCCACTTGCCTTCCTTCCTTCCCAGCTGATCCCTTACTGGGAGAAAACCTTCGACATCGACCTGTCCCGGCCTCAGATTGGTGTGGTCAACGTAACGGATGTGAGTACCGTCAAACACGTGGCTGCCCCTTGGGTGACAGAGGCTGGCCCCATGGGGCACAGCCTGGAGGTGGGCGGGGGGGGCAGTTGCGGGCTTTCCCAACTGGGGAGTGACGGGGGGCCACCAGACTGAGCCTCGAAAGGGGGCAGAGATGGTGGGCCAAGAGAGGAGAAGGCCTGGATGCTGGAGGCGGGGGGGGGGGGGCTTGGCCTGTCCAAGTGGACTCCCCCCCCCAGCAGCTTCCTCCTGCGCTGTGCCCCCCCGCAGGCCGACAGTGTCTGGATGGACATGGATGATGAGGAAGACCTGCCCTCCGCAGAGGAGCTGGAAGACTGGATTGAGGATGTGCTGGAAGGAGAGATAAACACCGAAGATGACGATGACGACGATGACGACGATGACGACGACGACGACTAAGGGCTGGCCCTTCCCATGTTTCGTGCAAGGCGGGTCCTGTCTGGGGGGCTCCACCCACCTCACCCTCCGGCACCACCGCTGACCCCAAAGCAGCACATTCGGCCTGCACGAAAACGCCCCGGCCCTAGCAGGAAACATTTTTATATTGATCTTATTTACGTCCAAGGCCCTCACCGCAGCCTGACCAGGTTCCCTCCGTGCACAGAGCCCCCCCCCCCCAGGCCCCTGTCTGCCCTTGACGAGGGCGGGGGAGAACTGGCTCCTCCATCTGCCCTCCCCTTCCATTGGCCAGACGCCAGGGGAGAATGCCCCCTTTCCCGGGATGGTGCCACCACCAGCCAAGCCCTTTCCTGGTCCTAGAAAGGCTTGTTCTGTAGGTGGCGGCCATCAGCTGAGGCACTCTTAGCCCTGCTTGAAGGCCAGGGGAATTTCCCATCATGCACCCCAACCTCGAGACTTGGTCCTTGCCTTCTGCTTCAGAGCTTTCGGGGCTCCTTAATGGTCAAGGCGGCCCTTATCAGTCGAGACCTCCCTGTCTCTGGGGGCCATTGAAAGGGTGGAATCAAGTAGCTGCCATCTTTACAAATCCCCGCTGCCCTCCTGCCCTTCCCATCCAGGCCTTGGGACGAGATGGCAACAGGTCCACTTCACTCTCCTCTGGCAACAAGGTGCTCACCTTTTCAGGTAGATCAATCCGAATCGCTAGAGGGCAGCACTTTAATTTACAAAGATGTTCAGCCATGCGCAAAGAACAGAAACAGAATAAGTGATCGGCAAACTAGTTAACGTCCCTCCACAACTGTTCCCCGAGTGTCTCTTCTCCTTTTCCACACACACAGGCCCACGAAGGGGATTTCGCCGTCCTAGTTCTCAGGTATCAGGAACTGATCTTTCGCTGAACTCTTTTCCAGGAAGAGAAACTCTGAGTCATTTTGCTGAATTAGTTGAAGAAGCGAAAGATGTGCCAGCAGTAAAAATCAGAGGCAAATTAGCTTCGGAGCTTGCAGGGGGCGGGGGGGGGGCGGGGGGGGGGGGATCTGCAGGCTCCGTTTTCCTGCTCTCTTTAGGGGGGGGGGGGAGCCAGCTCAGCAGGCAGTGAGGGGCGTAATGTACAATTTGTATATTTTTCAACACCTTTGTACAGATCAAACCAAAAGTGATTAAAAAAATGGAACAATAAAAGGGACTGGCGAGGTCTTTCCCTCTCCCTCTTTGCCCCTCCTTTGGCAAACAGGTTTTTGGATCAGAAAGTCTGGAATATTCTGCAATTGGGGGTGGGGATGGATAGAGAAACAGCTCCATTGCTCTGCCGTGGAAACTGTACACCCCCAAAGGGCCAATGCTCCGTATCTCCCACCCTGCCTGGGAGCCACAAGGAGTGGCCAGAGGGGTGCCAACTCCAGGGGACACGGAAAGGCCACGCAGGTCCCGTGGCTGGATGCTGATGGCTTCTGGGGGCAGCCCAAATAGGCAAGGGCCACCTATTAAAGGCTACTATCCCCCCCCCCCCGGCACTGTTTGTGCTTCTTGATGATCTGTATAAATAATATATGCTAATCAAAGAGAACATGCAGCCTTCCGTCCAAGTTTGCATCTCTGGCAATGGGAAAAAACGCTCTGTCCATCCATCCTCCCTGCAGCACTTAGGAAACCCGCTGGCTCTGCCATTGTTCCAGGACTGGCCTCAGTTGCCCCTTGGAGGGATAGGGCTGCACTTGCTCCCATTTCACAGAAGGCAGAAATGAGGGAGAGAGAGAGAGAGAGAGGAGAGGAAGGGAGGGATTTGCCCTAGGGAAACAGGGCAGAAGCTCACGGAAGAGGACCAGCCTATCTGTGGTGCTTCTCCCGGCCTTTAATTAAACCTCCTTGGCCAGGGGCAGTTTACCTCCACACAGCTGCCAACAGTGGATAGACAATTCTGTTTTATATTGCTTAGTGGGAGCAGGGCTGAAAGGGTCTTCCAACAGGCCCAAGGAAAGGGACCCTCCCTTGTCCCATGAAGGGGTCAGGGAGAGTGGCAGGCGGAGCTCCTCAGCAATTCCTTCGGCCAATTTGACATTCGTATCAGTGCCACCAGCTTTTTCCTCCCCCCCCCCGCATCAAAAATGCATGAAGAAATGCATTGCTGGGCTATTAATATCAACTCCCGTAAAAGCTTTTTATGCATGTGCGCGTTGTGGGTGATGGAGAGACAGGGGCAGCAGAGGAGTCCATACGGGGTGGGGGTGGGGGGCAAACAGGAAGGGAAGGTTATCGGAGGGGGGAGTGGTCTGGCAAAATTTGCCCTGTGGTGCCTTGAGGTGGGGAGAACCTTCAGGGTGGGAGGGGGTGTAAAGGCAGGGGACAGAACTGGCAGTAGTTCCTCTGGAGTTTGGGGCACAGTCACGTTGGAGGACCCCCCCCAATTCTTCCCAAGGAAGTCACAAAAAGGGATGGCAGGACCTCCACCTCCATCACTGCATTTTAAGGATGGGCGAAGGCGGCACAGTGGTTAAAATCCAGGACTGCCATCTCCTGCTGCCTGCCGGCTGCCTGCAGCTTGGCAGTTCGAGTCCCACCGGATCAAGGTTGACTCAGCCTTCCATCCTTCCAAGGTGGGTAAAATGAGGACCCCAAACTGTTGGGGCTTAGGGGGCTGTCAGCCACCCGAGCAATATCAATAACCACTAATTAAGCTCCACAATTAAGGACTGGGTAACCCTCCTATTGTGACCCTGATTTGTCCCCGGTGGCTACCAAACTGAGGGGCTGAACTCCGAGGCAAAAGGGGGGCTTCCTCGCGGTCTCTCCTTAATTGCCCCGCTGGCCCTGCTGGGGGGCAGCCGGGGGGGGGGGGGGCGGCCCTCCCCGGCTTCTTCTGTCCGTCTCTCTCAGCGGACGCTTCCGGTTCCATTCCTGGCCGAGCAGAAAAGGGGCCGGAAGCGGCCGCAGAAGGTTCGGGAAGGGAGCAGCGGGTCCCGGGTGGTGGTTTCCCCACAGAGACGAGGGACTCGGCCCTCTGGTCACACTTCTGCCCCCCCCCCCCCCCCCGCAGGGTCCCACCGGGAGTTTCCGGGACGGCCCATGACTCTCTGCCCCATATGGGCCAAGCCGTCTTTTGGCCGGAATTTGTCGCCGCTCGTTGGGCTGCCTTGGCCGGGTGAGAGGGAAGCCCTGTCCCCTCCGCACCGGGGCGGGTCCAGACTCCCTTGGCCAGCCAGGGGGCCACGGCTTTGGAGCCTCCGTGGGCAGAGCAGAGGGCAGGCAGGGCTTTCATCCAGGCGACTCCAGCAGAGGCTGCCGGGAAGCAGGGAGGAGGGAGCCTCAGAGCCGGGCTTCGGACCCCGGGGCGGCCGAAGGTCTCTCCCCCAGCCCGTCCCCGAGGATGAAAAGTCAAGCGGAGCGGCAGGCTGGGAAGCGGAGCATCGCGGGGGCACTCCCGGGCTTTCGGGGGCCGCTTTTGGACACTGCCACTCAAGAGGCACCCCCCTTCCTCAATCTGGACTAGAGGGCCGCCGGCTCTCCTTTCTTTTGCCGCCTCCTCCGCCTCCTCCTCCTCGGGCGTCACGTGTGAACGCGCGCCCTCTTTCCCGCTCGCTCTCGGCTTCCTGCTCTCTCCGAGGCGATCCGGAGCCAGGCACTCGGCACAAAAAGCCACCCAGCCGCCAGCTTCTCCCCCAATAGCTCAGCCTCTCCCGCTGACATCACTCGGCGGGGAGGAGGAGGAGGAGGAGGAGGAAGGGTGGGGTGAGCGGGAGAAGAGCCTGCGAAAGAGCCGGAGCCGCCTGAGCAGCCGCGACGCCCAGCTCGAGGGTCGCCCATCCCGTCCCAGCAGGCGAAGCCAGGACGCCCTTCGCTCGCTAGGCCGGCGGTGCCGGCGCTGCCTGTGTCCTTCTGCCTTTCCAGCCTTTCCTTGCCGCGGGTAAGTCCCAGCCCCGGGCAGCGTGCGCCTCTCTCCGGGCTCCGGGAAGGGGGGAAAGGGTGGGTGGGCTCCGGCTGGCGGCAACGGAACCGACCGCGGGCGCTCTGTACATGGGCAGAGGCGGTTGCGGCGCCACAAGGCAGAGCAGCTGAGCCGGAGACTGGCGCCGAGGCAGGAGCCCCCAGGCGCGGTCCGAGACCCCCGGCCGACCAGCCTCCTCCTCGTGACCGTGACTCAAACGCGGAGTCCGCGTGAATCACTGCCGCCGCCGCTTCCTCTTTGGCCCCTCGCCCGCCCGCCCAGCCCTTCCTGGCGAGCGCCGCCGCCGCCGCCGCCGCCGCCGCCGCCGCCGCCCTCCTGGCCCGCGCAGGCTTCTCTCGGCCGGCGGGCCGGCTCGCCTGCTGCCTGTCGGGGTCAGCCGTTCCGGCTAGAGCCTGGCGGAGGAAAGGGGGCGCGGCCACCTGCACGCTGCCCGGCGGCGTCCTTTGCTCCGCGCCCCAGGGGGAGCCGCCGCCGCCGCCGCTCGCCCGGCCGCCCCTCTGCCCGCCGCGCCTTTCCTGGACCGGCCCGCCTTCCGGGCAGCGCTCAGGCTGCGGGAGCCGCCCAGGGCGCCCGGACTCCGGGAACCGGGACGGCGGAGAAGGGCCCGGCCCGGGGAAAAGCGAGAGAAGGCGAGCCCGGCCTTCTACCGGCGGGGTGCGGACCGAGAGCCCCACCGGCCACGGCCGAGTTTCTTTCCCACCGCCCCGCTTATAGGGAAGCGAGGGCGGCCGCCCGAGAAGCGCCTCCATCCCCGCCGAGAAGCAGCGGAGAGCGGGGGAACCTGCGGGGGGGCGGGGGTGGGAGGCTCCGAGGCGCCCCAGGGCAGCGCTCTTTCCCCAAGACGGGACAGCCCAGGCTGGATGAGGAGGTCCCGGGACCTTCCTTGCCTTCAGATGAAGCGGCGGCAGCAGCAGCAGCAGCAGCAGCAGGGAAGTCCGCCTGCCCACCCGCACCTGACCCCAGGGAGCAGCACCAGGTGGGGGGTGGAGCCTTAGTAGTCCTTGCTCCTCCTTCCCACCCTGCAGGCTTCTCTCCCCGCCCGGAGCAAGAGGCCTCCTGGAGTCCCTTCTGGCCCTGCCTGTAAAGGGGGACGCTGGACTGAGGGTCCGAGTGTGCGGATCTGGTCCTTGCCCCCTGGTTTTCCCCGGGCTGGGCCAGGGCCAGGTGCTCCATGGGTCCCCCCCCCCCAGGCTCCATCCCCTCCTGGAAACTGAAGTTGGGGAACGGGGCCCTCGACTTTGCCCCCCTTTTGCCCTTAGACTCTTTTACAGTTTGCTTCTCTCCCTGCGGTTCCCTTCCATGCCTCTCAGTGGGCAAGTGGTGTCCCCTGGCTCTTCCACCTGCTCTGGGGGAGGGGGGGGGGGCTGGGGGGTGTCTTCTGCTGACCCTGCCCTCTTCTCCCCTGCAATTCCCCTCCGTGGAATCTTCCACCGGCCCCTCCAGCCTTTGCAGGGCTGCCCTTTCACGGATGGCACTGAACTCCCTGGAGAGTGACCAGGATTTGGTGTCTCCAGCTGGGCCCTCTGGACCGTGCTGCTGGCTCTGACCCCGCCCCCTCGTGGGTCCTTTCCGGCTTCTGGTGGACTTGGGGGCTGCTCTCCTCCCTCCCTCCCCTCCCCTCCCCTCCGGTCAGTGGGGCATTTCTGCTCAGCTCCAGCACCTGAAGATGTCCTGGCCGGTCTGGCCTCCAGAGCATCTTCTGAGAAAAGCTTCAGGAGGAGGCAGAAAAAGAAGGAGAGTGGCCGGAGGTCACCCAACAGGCTTCCTGGCCCCTCATCATGGATTCGAACTCTAGTCTTCCTCAGGAGCTCCTCCTTCCGGGCGACCTGTTTGCTAAGTGCCTGTTTGCCACGTCTCTGGAGGGCAGAGCTGCACCATGGCAGATGGCGCTGCTTCTGCCCTCTCTCCCAGGACTGCTGAATGCCTGACATGGACCTGGCGCATCCGCCTCTATGCCGGACTTCAAAGGTCAGCAGAGATGGCCTCACCCCGCATTCTGCAAGGGATGGAGCAGAGCTGGGGGGGGGCAGTGGACTTCCCTGACGCTTCAGGCACTTCCTGCTGTCCAGCTGGAACTATTCTGAGAGGCCAGCGGGCAAACATGGCCGCCGCTTGCAACCCTCTTCCGCTCTGTGGTCTCTCTTGGCTCCGATGCCGGGCGGCGATTCTCTTCGGAGCTTCATGTCTTCCCACGAAACACCTGACTGGGTTCAATCACTGAGGCTTGTTAGGAAGAAAGCCTTGGCGCTTTCAGGGTAGAACTGCAGGTGGGGGCGCCATGCCCGTCCCCGCTGGCACAGCCACCCTGGGCCAGGGAACCGAGGGCCATGCCAAAGAGGAAAGGGAGGGAGCCAGCGGGCTGGTGGGCTGGCAGCTCCGGGGCAAAGGGGGTGAGTTGCATCTTCCATCCCAGGCCCTGCTTCCAAGGTGGGCCCTTCCTGGCCCCTCACAAATGGCTCCTGGGGAAGCGAGCAAGGCCCGGCCCAGGGAAACGGCTTCCCTGGGGCAGCCAGGCACAGTCGCCCTCCCCACCCGACAGGCCGTTCTGCCCGCGCCCTGAATTGCATCCCTCTCTGGGTGTCAGCCTGGAGCAGCCAGTCCCTTCTCATTGTCTCAGGATTTGGGCGCAGGGGAAGGGAACAAAAAGGCCATTGTTCAGGCATGGCGTGGCGGCTCCCCGCGCTCTGCCTCTTTGCCTTTGTTTCCTCCTCGGCCTTCGATATTCCTCCCCACCGGCGCCCCCTCCCCCCCACCGGACATTCCATTCCGTTTCCGGGGAGGGGGAGGGGGCTGCCTCTTTTGGTGGGGCTCTTGTCGAACATGTGAGAAACAGCTGCACTTTCTTTAAAACCAGGAACATAAAACAAAACGAGAGGAAAGGACCGGTGAGCAGGGGGGTTGGGGAAAGGAAAGGCGAGCCAAACCAGCTCTGAGGCTGGGGTGGGGGGTGGGGGGGGGGGGCAAGCCTGATGCAATTCCCTCCCTGCAGAGGAAGCTGAACGGGCCAGTCGGGCCAGGAGGCTGGAGCTGCAGACTGTGGCATTCCACATCTGCATTGGGGGTGGGGGTGGGGGGGCGGGAGGACCGTCTTTTCTGTTGGGGAAGCAGGGCCCCCTAAGACCTGGCCCCCAGCTGGCCTCAGCAAGTGGGGGTCCTCCTTTTGGTCAGTGGCTGGCTGGCATTTCCAGAACTTGGAGTTGCTTTAAAAAGTTGCTTCATTCCAAATTGGGTCAGAGCCCTTCGTGCTCGTAGCGGACATTTTCTGTCTGTGGAAATGAGGAATCCCACCCAGGAGGGTCCGTCCCAGAGCCTGAGGAGCAAGGGGCCTTGCCGGCTGTTTTGAAAGGGAGAGGAACAGAAACGGGATGAAGAACATTCCGCCATCACCTGCTGGAACTTCGCATTTCCATGAGGCCTTCCAAACTTCCATCCTTCCTAGTTCGCATGTTCTTGCACTGGTCAATCGGCTCTGGCATTGGACATTCTTGGTCAAGCCACCGGTTCATTTTTGAGGGCGTAGCAAAAGCTTCATTCTTTCCTTGCAACAGGGCTCCTGTTCGCAGTGATCATTAGGAAACCTGCCCCTCGCTCAGCTGGCCTTTCTAGAAAAACAGTCAATATTTGGAAATATTTGGCCCTCCAACTCCAGACCTTGGCAAGTCCCTCCTCTCTGTCAAAGGGAGGCCACACTTTGAAGAAGCAAAGATGGTTGGGGTTAAAGGGCAGCTTGTTAAACAGCCATATTGTGTCACAAATTAAATTACTGCTTTGCAGGAAAGGACCAAGGGGGTCAGCCTGTCTATAAGCGAGAGAGGAATCTCTGCTCACAGCCCGATGGCCAAGCACAGAGGGCTTCGGAGAGAACATTTACGTTCAGCATGGCGGGTTGGTTCCACTTCTGCCAATACGCCTTTGGAAGTTTCTATTGCAGTGAAATGTGAGTTCACAGGTGGCATGGCAACAGGGAGAGGGCAAAATGCTTGCCTGTCTGCGTGTACCGTTCAATTAGTTTTCTTCCGGAAACTCACAGGCACAGTACACCTTGAATATTAAAGGGATAACTCAAACTTGAAGGATACAGCAAGTATCCTTCCCACCGCAAGTCCACTCTCTGCCTTTCAAAGGGTTTTAGAAACACCGCATAGCTAGATATCCTTCTGGGAAGCCAGCACTGACCCTTGGCCAATCGTCCCCAGAGGAGAGGAGTTGAGGTGGAGGGAAATGGCTCCTCTGCCACCAGGAAGGGGCCTTTGGGCGCTGAAGAGCCTTGGCTGTCTGCCACGGTGCCTCTGAAGGTGTTAACCAGCCCTGCTCATCAGGGAACCCAGTGGCAGAAGTCTCTCCTGTGCAACAGGAATCGGGGCCACACCTGGACCAGGCTTGGATTGCACCTTCACCTGGAGAGCAAACCCTGGCTGGGCGAGAGCCTTGCCGCCTGTGGGGGTCTCCAGGGCTTTGGACTTAATGGGAAAGGGAATAGGTTTAAGGGAGAGAGAGGAAGGGAGGGGGTCAGGGAGAGTTGGAAAGGCACATCTTGCTTAGCAGTTGCCATGGCAATTTCTCTTGCTCCTGAAAACTCAAGCTGGATGGCTTTCATTCATCCCCCCACCCCCCCCAAAACACTCTGCTCCCCTCCCTGTTTGCTCCACCAAGTTACGGGCACTCCTAACTGCTGGGCACGCTCTGTCCCTTCTTTTCCTGGGGGTGCGGCTGACGGCTCCCATCCTTGGCTCAGAGCCGCTCTTCTGAGCTGCCAGAGAAGGGCCGGGAGGCCAAGCGGTGGGCGCAGTTGCCCCTGTGCTTGGGTGCAAGGCCTTGGCCCCAGAGCAGGGCGCTATCCTCTTCCCACCTTCCCCGTCCCTGGTCTCCACCTTAGAGCCACCCATTTCTGACTCTCATTTCATCGCAGCCTCTTCTGTTCCCTTCTGCATTCACAAAGCTTTTGTTGCAGAGCTTGT